CATACCTCCACGAGAAGCCTCAAGAGAGCCCCAACATTGGGCGAAACGCGCCAACATGGAACAGGATATGTCCCAAGAATGCACCAAGATCGCTGAAGATTGGCACAAACGATCACAAACGTGCCCCGACTTTAGGCACCCACTGGAGCTAGCTTTCATAAGACAAAGCAACAAAAACGACAAAGAAAACTGTCAAAACCACCTGTCTTCACTTGTCGGACCTCATTTTTGCATGATTTTTGTGTTTCACACGCACTGGGCAAAAAGACCACCTGCCCAAGTCAAGCAGCAGAGAAAAAGCAGCCAAATGGACCAACATGGCCGCAAAACAAATAACATAACAGCAGCAAAGCCTTCAACATAGCCCTGATCTAGACCCCACAGCCCCAATCACTTCCAACATACCTCCACGAGAAGCCTCAAGAGAGCCCCAACATTCTTTGGAGTGCTCCAATATGGAAAAGGATATGTCCCAAGAATGCACCAAGATCGCTGAAGATTGGCACAAACGTGCCCCGAATTTGACCACCCACTGGAGCAAGCTTTCATAAGACAAAGCAACAAAAACGACAAAGAAAACTGTCAAGCCCTTTCTTACACTTGTCGGACCTCACTTTTCACGTCTTTTTTTGTGTTTTACACGCACTACGCAAAGGACCACCTGCCCAAGTCAAACGCCAGAGAAAAAGCAGCCAAGTGGACCAGCATGTCTGCGAAACAAGTGACATAACAGCAGCAAAGCCTTCAACAGAGCCCTGATCTAGACCCCACGGCCCCAATCACTTCCAACATACCTCCACGAGAAGGCTCAAAGAGAGCCCCAACATTGGGCGAAACGCGCCAAGATGGAGAAGGATGTGCCCAGGAATGCCTGAAGATCGCCGACAAACCTGCCCTAAATTTGACCACCAACTGGAGCAAGCTTTCATAAGCAATAAAGCTCTCACAAACACATTTCTTGCACTTGTCCAAACCTTTGCGATGCCGGTTATGTTCTCTGGGGAAGACTGCAGTATTGACATCATGGATGTGCTCGTCAGGAGCAAGCTTTCATACGCAAACAAATTACAAAAAGAAGCTCTCAAAAACACCTTCCTTACACTTGTGGGACCTCATTTTTTCATGGCTTTTACAGTGTTTTATGCACATTGCACTTCAAAGCCTTCGAATGCGAGATAAGAAGATAAACCTCAAAAATTGCCTCCCGTGCAGGTAAAATGCAACTTTTTGAAGGTAAATAAGCTCAACACAAACCCATCCAAAGCCACTTTTTACTGTAAATTACAGTGTTTTATGGACCTTCGAACATGCAAAAAGAAAACCGCGCGGTCTGCAAACCAGTCCGGCAAGCAACGGAAAGCGAGAAGCGAGCGGGCGCGGAGCTAGCGCTGGTCCGCAGATTTCGACGGATTTCGACGGACGTCGACGGAGTTCGACGGCTTTCGATGGTTTTCGTTTGCGTTTCTGCAGCGTCACTTTTTGTGGTCTCCGCACGGGCATCAATCAGGCCACCAGACTCTCAGTGAGCACTCGTTTGGGACAAAGTAGGTTTTTCTTACGGGTCTCTTGGAGGGGTGTGTGTGTGTGTGTTTGTGTGTCACTAAGGGCTACGAGTAGGTACATGCACATAGAGAAGTGTGCACGAAAAGCCCACGTCAAGGATGGAGGTGCGAAAATTAGAGGCCTGAGGCGTGAGTGTGTGTGTGAAACAGGGTTCTCTGGCGCCGGTTGCTGGCAGTGACTCTGGCCTCAGTCAGCAGGCGCTGCGTCGCTTCTGGCAGTGACCTTAGTGTATACGTCCACGGCGTGTTCGATAGTGGGGGAGTGTAGGTGAAACTCTGTCAGGGTGATTGGAGATCTTTTGTCGGTCGCACACGTTCACATGCCTCGCGCTTACGGCGAGATGGAGTGTGGGCAGGAGGTCGTCCGAAGTATTACTTCGCAAGGGCGACCAAATCTACAACAGTCCACTGAACGTCACTCTTCCATGTGCGTGGGCGGATGGTGGCCTCCCACGTTGTGTCCGCGGTGTTCTTCTGGTTGAGGGTCTCGAGGAAGGCAGTTTGAGCGGCCTCGTCGTTGTCGCATTTGGTCCACATGGTGGCCAGATCATCGAAATTCGTGTCCGTGAAGCATGCCAGGAGGTCTTGCCAAGCGGTGATGGTGAGCGTACCAGTCGAGTCCTTGACCTGGAGGGGCAAACGGAGGCGGTCGCCGTTGTCGCCGCACCAAATGTTCATGTGGAAGAGGCTCTCGGTGAACGGTACGATGTGAACGTGGACCTTCATGGCGGTGTCGGCGGCAGTGGTCTCTTTCACGGCTGCGATGGTGCTGATCGTCAAGTCGGCGGTCTTCAAAGCCTTCTTGGGGCGCTCAGCGCTCGGTTCTGGTACCTGGGATGTTGTTCGTCCGTGCAGAAGGGGTAAGAAGGGTTAAAATGAAATAAGGTCACTGGACTACAAGCAAGGTGAATGAAGGACATTAGTGAGTCGACGCGGGGCCTTCAGCCAGCTGGGAGGCGGCAAACACCACGTAAGGCGGGAAGACTCGAGGGAAATGAGGCCCATCCACGATCGCTTCTGCACCGACATGACCAGCAAGGGTTGTCCAGTTTCGAAAGTCGCTCCAGACATGCTGCCAACCATGTCGATGGGTATGGTCTGGTCACCTGTAGCCGGGTAATGGTGGAAGAGTGCGTCAGTGGTATATAGGGGTTTAAAAAAAAATATATATATATGAGTTGTCAGTCGATGTTGCAGTGCAGTCCAGGCGCCCCATTGCAAGCAGATGGTACGTCTTGGAAGCGCGGGCGGTTTGACCGGCGACGGCGCCGGTCCGACGTGTTGGAGGATGCCGGCGACGTTGAGGGGTTGGTTCTCATCAACTTGGTCAAGGCGTTCGGGTGGAGTGATGGGTTGTGGCTTTAAGATCGTGTCCGGGATGCCGTCGAGGACTCGCTGCACTTGCGTGCGGTATTGAAACCGTAGGCCTGAGGAACAGCAGGTGGAAGGTAGTTAAAAATAGAAGGGAGTGAGTCGTATGGGAAGAAGGTGTGACAGAAGGGACGGGACTAGAAGAGTTTAGTTTAGCAGTTTAGCCGAGAGTTGACCAGTTGGATCGAAACAGGGAACAAAAACACGTTAAAAAAAGACTTATAGGGTCACGAATGCTTGTCAAGTTGCAAAGATCGCTGGCGATTCCGGTGTAGGATTGACC